CAAAGTGTTGGTCATTCCTGTAGGAAGAAAAACCTAATTCTTCTGTGATTTGTTCAGTTGCAACTCTCTCTTCTGTTCAAGTAATATGGTAATCTGTTCAAGTGAATAGGGTCGCAGAGACTCCTACCCAGCTCTGCAACCACTGAAAGTAGAAAGAATAAAAAGTTTTCAGGAGTGCCTTGATACAGTGGAGTTTTGTGGTTGGTTGGGCTTTCTGGTGTTGTAGGTTTGGGGATTTGTTTGGGGATTTTTTGGTTTGTGGTTTTTGTTTGTTTTGGGGGGGGAGTTTCTTGGGCTTTGTTTTGTTTGTGTTTGGTTAGTTTGTTTGATGTTTTTTCAGTTAGGAGCTGTCAGTCTGTAGGCCTTTGGTGCCCATTCATGTCCATTCATGCTAACTTTGGAAAAGCAGATTTTCTCACCAGCAGGTGATTCCAAGTGTTTTGTAAAAACCTTGGTATGCCATTAATACCTGGTGCATGAGAAGCAAAGATAGGTACTGTGAGAATTCTGCTGCTGAAGTTGATTTCATACACTGGCAGGTTTGGTATTGAGGATAATTAGCTGCTTCATCAGCAATTAAGACATGAGATTTTGTAAAGACTATCATGTCTTAATGCCTTAATAGGCTTTTCCTGACCTTCACATCTTTTTTTTCTTCACTGATTCAAATCTACTGGATCAGTGATGAATGGGAAGATGCTGTCAGCGGGTCTTTGCAGCTGCTGGTGCTAAGTGGACTATATAAATCTCTACAAGGAGAAAAAAACAACTTCAGTCTCCTTATTAACAATCAAGTCCCATCTGTTGTATCTAGTGGTTTATGTTATAATCTGCCTCCTTCTTGATAGTCCCAGGAAAATTTGGGAGGAGAAGGACATAGTGTCTCAAGTCTGGTAAGATCTTAACAGCTGAGACAAGGATGTTTTCAATTTCATGTGCAGTGAACTGCTGTGTCACTGTTTTGTGATCTTTTCATATTGTAAATATGAATGCTAATTTATAGAACATAGAAGTCTGGATGAAAATAGCAAAGTAGAGATTTCTTATGAGAGTTCTTATGACCTTTTACAACATACATGTGAGAGACTAGGAATAAACATATTATCTAGCGTGTTGAAAGCAAAACAAAATCAGCTAATTCCTTGGTTTTATTTGTTACCATTGTCATGGCACTTTACTGTATGTTGTGGATGTGGAATTAGTAACAGAAAAAATGATCTGATTTCAACTCTGGTAATATGAGAGTTTATTTTACAGTCAAGAGACTGGGAAAAAAAAAAAACAAGTAGAAAAAAAGGCAGCAAAACTTACGTAGATAGTTGGGATCACTTTGGTAAAAACCAAACCAAGATTACTAGCGAGACTAAAACTTAGACCTGCATGTAACTTTCTGAATCACTCAATTCTGCCAGTTCAGCACAGCATTTTTAGAAGTTCTAACATACATTTATCAAATCAGTCCCTGTTCATCTCTCTGAACTTAGTCTCCTTTTGTGCTGTTCTTACCTCACTAGACCTGAAGAGGGCTGTGAAAGCACCTTTGCAGACTCCTGCTTTATGCAGTTTGCCATAGCAGGATATTTGTTTAAGAACTTTGTCAACATCTGTAAAATGAGTGTGCTTTAATATTAAAACCAGTAAAGAATGCAACTGCAGGTGCAGGCAGTGTGGATATGTACACAAAATACCTATTGTCATTGGTTTTTATGAGAGGAGCAGCATTGCAACTCTTGTTCTGACAGCTTCAGTCCCAGTGCAAACAGCATCTTAACCTTTGAGCTGCTCCTTTGGCAGTGCTGATTCCAAATGAGTTTATTTCTCCTCTCTCACAATAGGATAACTCCAAGAAGTAGAGTTGGTACAGGAAGAGTTGAAAAAAATGTACCAAGAGCAGCAGTGTATGGAACAATAGATTTATTTTTGTCTCTTTTAGAAATGGACTTAGGACAGCTAATTCTTATTGCTGGTCCAGGTGATTCTATGCAGTGTTATTTAAGCTTGACCTGCATTCTGTGAAAACATAGACTGTAAGTTGAGGGAGTTATGACAGCACTGCTGGTGATATTTGAGTCACAAGAACATGTTTTAAAACCAATAATAATCTTGCCCACTCAGAAGTCTAAATGTTGGAATCTTGCCAAGTCCCTGATGATTTGCAGCAGTAAGTTAAATGGTGCATCCACATTGTGTGATTGTTGTATTTATTCAAGTGAACCAGATGCAACCTGTCTCAGATATTACAGAGTTGTTAGGAGAATGAGGATCATATTCAAATTCTTTTCATTGTTTACCTACCTCTCATGATTTTGTTGCCAGTAAACCTGTAATTCTCATTTTGTTGCCACTTTGTAATTTTGTCTAATATTGTTGCTGCTGCACTTTCTAAAATGAATGTTCTTCCTACAAAATTGGGTTAAGAATGTTGCTTTGGTGACTGAGCTACAGCCAGGTCCTGCCTTTGGAAGCAGCAGAGGATGCCTGGCAGGGCCATGGCCTTTCTTCCCACTCTTCACAAGGCTGGGCAGGGTTGTTCATGGGGCATTTTTTGCTGCTACTCGTTTAAAAACAATGATTACATGCATTTTGAAGGTTCCAAGTAAGGTAGAAGAAAATAGGAGGCCATTCTGTATTTTTGTGTTCATGTTTTGGAAGGATGAGTTGACACAAACACACAGGAAGGATCCTCTGGCATTTCCTTAGCCCAGGGCAGGTTTCTGCCAGACCCTCAGTCATAAGGTTGTGGTGCAGCACTAAGTGCTTGGTGCACAAACAAGTGGCCAGTTGTCTCTTTCCAGTGCTCTGGTGTTTTCATTGGCTTTCCTCAGCACTTCATAGTCATAGTAAGTGTGAGGGAAAGCAATTGCAGTCACTGTGGTGTAAAACAGAAAAGAAGTATGAAGAAATAAACTTTCCTGTTTGCCTCTGTCTGTATCCGATGCTTTGCTGTCTGCCTGAGCCCTCGTGCTGTGCCCGGGGCCGCCGGCAGGGGGCGCTGTGGCCATGGAACGGAGGACGAATTAATTACGCCGAATAATTATTAATTGCTTATTGTGCATAGTTGCCCATGTCTGTTTGAGGCAAGGAGCAGCTGAGAAAAAAAAATAAGTATTCCAGATACCTTGATGGGTTTCATTCCAAATAAAACACTGATTGAGGTTATTTTATTATTTTGAAGAAATAGATTTTCAGTGTTTTGGTGTTTGTCAGCAAAGCAGTGTTTTGCTAAGAACCTCTTGCCAGGAGAAAAGATGACTTATTTTGTCCTCATTGACTGCTTTTATTCAGAAAGCAGGTGACAGCAATCAATTCCAATGCCATCTACATCTCCAATTATTTTACAAACCCCAGGAGCTAATTACAGCCCTTGGGCTCTGGCAGTCAGCTGACTTCATCATGCGACTCTCTTGGCCATCACATACCTCTGAGTAATTGTCTATTTATGGAAAATAAATTAATAGCTGCTATTTCTACTTTAAAAAGAGGACCTGTGTGTGTGTAGGTTGAGCAAGTGGGTTGTAGAGGGAAGGGAGGGAGATGAGGAGAGAAAGAGGTAAAGGGATAGACTGAAAGAATAAGAGGGGTGGGGTGAAAGATGATACCAGGATACTGAGGAGAAAGGTACAGTGAAAGGAAAAAAGTTGAAAGGGAGGATGGAAGCAGGATCCCAGAAAATTGATCAGGAGAAACCAGCCTGGCAGCAAATAGCAAGATACAGTGTGACAGGAGGAAAAATGTGAATAAAATTGTGGGAAATATTTTAGTTCTTTTTAATATAAACCTGTGAAGATAAAGATGCACTTTCTCCAAACTGTAACTGTATTATAAACACAGAAAAAGAAGTGAAGTCTGAGTGTCTAAGAATCTGTGATTTAGGTGAAGATGTCCCTGCTCGTCGCAGGGTGCTAGGACTAGATGGCCTGTAGAGGTCCCTTCAGCTCAAACCACTCTGTGTTTCTTATTGCATATCCATCTCTGAAAATGCTGTCAACAGAGACAGTGCTTGGCTTTTCGGGTCACTTAAGGCAAGAAAGGATTAGATGTTATCTTTATTTGTGTTGATCTTATGGTTCCTAGAGAAATGAAAACTGTGCATTTTAATATTAAATACTGCAGTAATCTCCATCAGTCATTAGTAGTCTCCATCAGTAATTACACATCCATTGTTTGAAAAATTCTGCGTTTTGCAAGTTACATTTTTTTATACAGTGAATGTATAGAAGGTTTTGAACCGATGAATTCAAATTCAGACTTTGCCTGCAGGTTGTATAGACAAGTCCCTGATGTAATAGAGGCTGTTGCTACTTTAGTGTCATTGATGTGTGGTCAGAAGGTTGTTGGTTTGGGTTTTTATCCTCGTCCAAAAGTGGCCTACAAAATAACCATATGAAGGCAGAAGGATGAAGAGCTGAAGTGATCCTGCTATAGGCCAGAACTTCCAGCAACTTTAGGTTCATTTCAAATCTGTCATGCACAGAACTAAACTGTGAGAGAGGAATAAAAGCTGTGTGTTTAAAGAACATCAGTCTCTGTTTGGAGGAAGCATTTAGGAAATCACAGCTTCTGGCATCAGCTGCAGAGGGAAGTGGAGTGAGTGAGGAACCTTAGCAACATAACTGTATGATATAGGAAGTTTTAAAAAGGCCTATAATCTTGTCCGTGAAGCACCAAAACAAGGGATCGGGTCAGAGCTTTCTAAACAGCCTCTCTGAGCATTTCAGGAGAAAAAAAAAACCAACTTTCCCTGTATACATGTATCTGTTCGCTGCCTTCTACTGACACCTCACTTCTTTCCAAAACCTATTTTAAAAATAAATGCATACATAATAAACATATGCTTGGTAGGGCACCAGCTTGTTTGGAATGAGAGGACAGACCTTTCAGAATCTGGTACAATACATGATGACAATTCAGTGTGAAATACTCGATATCATTGCATATAATAATCAGCAATCTATCTTATTCACCTTTCAGATCAGCTGTTCCACGTGTTGGCCATGCACATGCGTCTCTACAGTATAGACTCTGCATACAATCCCTGGAGAAAACTAACCCAGCCGATGCAGGATAAAAATTCAGAGCAAGTATTTTAATTTACCCAGTATCAGTTTTATCTGGTGAAAGAAACATCCTTACAGAGTGACTTTGGGTGACTTACTGTCTTAATTTAAATTCTCTGGGAGGTAGGCTGAGGAACTTAACATCTAAAAATCTGACATAAAAATCTGACACACGTTTTGAGTTAAAGTTTCAATACCCCTCTTGCAAGCTTAAGCACGTGCATATTGAATGGTGTTGGGTAAATGAATAGGTGCAGTGCTGTTCTTGGTATGGATGCTAGACAAATTTACATTGAGATTAAGTTTGTAAAGAGTTCATAAAAGTTGAGCAGTGATTAATAGCTGCTACAGAAATAACATAAGCTGGCCTAATATTTGTGAGAAATAAGTCGATTTTAAGCTGAAAACTTTCGTCATGCTTATTTTGAACAGACTGTTTACCTGAGTTTGCTTTTAAAACGTTAACCTTAAGTACACAGCTGTACAAGGATTAACAAAACAATAAGTGGAACCATGTATCCGTGTTGTGCAAGGACTTATCTCCCTGCTTGACTTAAGACCTGTCCCTTTTCAGATGCTGCTTTGATGATTAGGAGAAAGGTTTCTTACCTAAAACCAGATTATCATTTTACCTCATAAGAGGAAAACAGTAGATTTTTTTTTAAATTTTTTTTTTTCCTCTTGGCACGTTAAGCATTGTCTTCATACTAAGCTCTAAACTTTGTAGCTTGCAATAGTGTTGAAAGACTGTTTTTAGTGCCTAGCCAGCCATGTGTTTGTCAGCATATCCCTAGGAGCCCGAGGTGAAAAGCATCCTGGGATTTCAGAAACTGATTGGGAATAGTGCTACCACAGTCCTCACTGCAGATTTGGGAGAACTGTTGAAACAGTGGTGCTCACTTCTAGTTCAGAATGTTACTGTTTGTCCTCTTGGACCCAGGTTTCTTTTTGCAATGAATATTAATCATTGCATTAATTAAACTATATTAACGGATTAGTTCATAAACGATTAGCAGAGTGAAGCACCAAGAATTGTACAGCTTGAAAACCTGTGCTATTCCGCATGCGTCCAAAGTGCTCTGGGGTCTGTTTGCCTGTGCTCCTGCCCTGACCTAGATTGAGCAGTGAGACAGGGTTAATAATTTGGTGTATGGTTGGCTGAGTCCTATGAGGCAAAATGAAGATGGTGTTGAGAGGCTGTGGACAGTCGGAATGGCTGTGGGACTGATCACACACATCTCATTTTAGCACTTGAAGAGCTTACTGCCTGTGGAAGCATTTGTTGGCTGAGAGGCCTTGACCTGGTGAAATTCACCATGCGTTGGTCATATTAAGGCTAGATTGCTGCAAGTTAGATTTCATTAGGCAATATCTTGAATCACTTAGAAATGAATGGTACTGTAGGCTGTAATAGAACTCTGCAGGAAGTGTTGCATGTTGGGAATGCATGAGAGCAGTTCTTGTGTTTTCTGCACTGGTTTTCAATATTTCTTGGTAGACTTGATGATACTGGTTTGGCACCAAGTCCTAAATGGTTTACAGGAAGCTCTAACTGAGAGGTCATCCCTTTTGCAGTGAAATAGTTTACTGTTGAGATGCATAGATGCAATCAAGCTGCAATAGTCTTGCTTGCCCTTGGGATGTTTTTCCTACCTTCGTCTGCAGGCCCCAGAATACTGCAAAGGAGGCAATTTGAGGACTTGTTTTTAATGTACAAATTAGAGCATAAAATGAATACCCATAATTATATTTTAGAAATCTGAAGTGGTAGTTTCACTCGAAGATGGCATTCATAGGATTGGTGCATATGATCTAATTGCACACTTAGTCACACAGCCTTCTGAGAAATACAAAATAGCAAAGTTTTTCAGGCACACGAAAGAGTGCTCAGAGCAATTAGGTGATGCACTGCTGTAAACCCAAGAAGAAGAGGATGGTGGAGAAATAATCACTGCAGATTCTAGATGTGAATGGCACTCTGCCATTTGAAGCTAACCAAGTCATCTAAATCATCAGCCTGACTTGCGCATGAGACTTTAAGCAAAGACTTGTAGAAAAAAAAAGTCAGTGAGAGTAAAAGATCTATGTGATTTTATGTGTCTAGGAGGGCTGATCAAAGTAACTTGTAAAGACTCTCACAGAATTGTCCCACTATACTTTCCAAAGCCACTGGTTTTGTCCATTGTCATCTATAACTACCTTGATCTCCCTGTAGTTTAAAACAGCAGCTGAGAGGAAAGACCGGAAGGAGCTTGTGCAGTTGCACCAAGGTAAAGTAGAAATAAGGAAATCTTGAGTAAGAAGATACCCCAACAAGAAGGGCCTAAAATAATGTAAACTGTTTGAAAGCAGAGAGAGGAATAAAAAAAGTAAAGAAATAAAAAATTATATTAAAAAAAACCATTAAAAATACAGCTAAGTCTGACTGTGAATGGTGTAGTGGGTTATTTCTCCTATGCTGTTCATGTTGCAAAATTGAATGCATGCTTGGTCCCACAGGCTGTACTTAAGCAAATTGCTCTTCTAGGGACAGATCTGGTTTCAATGGTGATCAAATAAACAATTATTGTGGTGCAAGGGTGGAATAATAGCTTCTGGCAGGGGGCAGGGAAGGAGCAGCTGGAGCAATAATTACTAAACCGGGATGTGAATTTAATGGACTAGTCCAAAACACCAGAGTTTCAGGAACAGCAAACCTGAAATCAAAAGATAGACATTTTTCTAAAATTCAAATCTCTACAAAGGCTCAATTTTTTGTGTCTGTTTTGACAGTCAAAATATGTCAGCAAAGAATGATTTGATAAACCATTAAGGATCTTTGCAGAAGAAGCACTTGAGGATGGAACTGCGTGATGAACTGAAATGCTGGGTTATTTTTACTGTAGTGTTTTGCTGATGTTTCGTTCTAAGCTCAATTGCCTTGGTGATTGTTTATTGTGTCATACTGGGGCAACAAACTGCAGCACAGGGATAGGAATGAGCAACTGTGCGTGGGAACCTTAGTCACATCTCCATCACAAACTATTGTGAATCAGGGAAAAAAAGGGCTTTTATAGAGATCCTGTGAGGCAAACAGAGGATGGGATGGTGGGACTGTGGGGTTTAGCTGAGGTTTGTGCAAGAGGTGCTATATACATATACGTGCTGCAACAGGATTTCCGTGATCTGTTCAGTAACAGCACAGATCCTACCTGAAGCCACAGTCCCTCAGGGCATATGTCATGGCAGGTAGGCTTTGGGAGTACTTGGTCTTGTTGTTTCTTCCTTCCCCTGTACTGTAGCTCACCATCTTCTTCAGCTGTGCTGATGTAACTTGGGCAGGCTGCAACATCAAGCAACTGATCTGTGTTTTAAAAAGGTTAATTTGAATGAGTTCGGGAACAGGTGACAAGGGACCGCTGGGGGCACAGTGCTAAAAGAGAGTGGGAGTTGCCTAATGTTTGTACTGTCAGTGAATGTGTAATGAGAAAAATGACCTGGTGTAAAATCTGTTGTGACACCGTGAAGAGCAAATATGAAATTGCGATTGTATCCTAGAGTGTAGCCAGAATAAAGAGTAGAATTTTTCTGTCTTATCATGACCATCAGAGGCTGTGTATTAGTTTGACCTCACTGCAGGATTTGTGGTCTGTACTCCTTAGCCTGAAAATTCTGAAGAAAATGCAAATTTGCACTAGTTGATGAAGCCTTTGTTTAGGTATATCTACATTCCTGTGTCTCAGATTTTTTGTATATGACAGTTCAAAGAGGTGTGAGGCTCAAAACTTTTACTTTATTTATTGAATTTCCAATTTCATAATTAGTTAGAGTTGGTGTCAAACAAAAGCTTTTAAGTGTCTCTGGTTGAGAGAAGAGGGAATGAGGAGCATATAGGTAAGGAATGGCCATAAGCAAAAAGCTGCTTGTTTCAGAGTACAGCAGAATTTCCCATTCCTCTGTATCCATTCCCAAGGAAGTGATTCCTGCATAACATCTCTCAGGAGGAGGATGCAGAATACAGAGTTGCTCAGCTGTCAGCTGATAGACAGCTCTGGTATTGGCACAGAGGGAGGTGCAGCCCAGTTACCTTGGGCTGGAGGAGAGGTCAGTTCCACAGAGAAAGCCAAGCAGTGCATTTCTCATTTTTTAGTACGTGTCTACATTGCACTGCGCAGTTTATTTTCACTTCTACCTTCCTTTTTTTAAATGGATACAACATAAAACTGTTACACATTGAAGTCATTTGGTGTTACTCTGGTCTCATCTGCAATTGTACTTGGTTTCTTTTTATTCAGTGCTTCTGTGGCAAAATTATTCGTTAAGTCAGATTTATCAAGCTTTCACATATGCATTGGGGATTAACAGACTGGACAATTTCCATAAAACACATCTTATGAATTCAGTTTGTGTCATAATGAAGAAGTTGCTTAGGCTCTTAACGAATGACAGAGCAGTTTTTAAGTGCTTCATTGTGCTGCAGCACTTGATGTAAACGAAAGCAGCTTATCTAAACCTCTGACATTTAATGTAGCTTTGCTTCTCAGTTCGTATGAACTGAATAAATTAGGCAAGTAATTCCGTTGGTCCTGCATGTGAAAATGAGTTCCTTTATTTGTGATGTTGCCAGTCATGGGCTTCTGTGTTATATATTTCTTAATTTTGGCAGAACTGGTACTTGGCCTAATCGTTACATGACTGTTGAATCATACGGATGTTGATATCTCTGTCAGAAAGAGGTGTTCAGCTACCTGTGATCAGAGGCAATTAGTTTTTGTAATGTTATTCCAAATTACATTTTCCCCCCAAATTTATATAAAAATTAAGTTAAAGGTGAGAAGTAATTTAGGAAGTGTCCATGGTTATAAAGTCACTACTTGATGAGAGTTATCTTAAAATTCAGTATCATAGATCATAAAATAGAACTAGCTGTAAGTAAAAGAATTGGAGAGACTTAGTAAGTTGAGCATCTTCCTTGCCTATATAATTTTGGAAATGAGATTTGGTGGATATGATACAAATTTTTGCTCCCTTTTTCTTTTTTAAATTTCAATACACTGACGTCTAGAATATTTGGGTTTTTGCTTGGGAGGTTCATACATATAAATATGTATGTTTATGTACGTCACAGTATTTTGAAACAATAGTTGTATTAAATGATTGATTAAAGCCAAAGGCATTATAGATAGTGTTTATTCTGTAGCTGTTTGGGTTCATTAATTCAAAAGGACGAGTTAGAGCATGTTTCCTGTGGCTTCATTTTACAAGACCAGTCAGCCATATGACCAAGAGTGTTCTTTTAATCCTCCTCTTGTATGATTGCTTCTGCGTGTTAAAATTTGTATCACAGGTGACTCCTGGCAGTGCCTCCTGTAGAGAGGTCTGAGTTTTCATGAAATCAGTAGCTATGAAGAGAGTCTCCTTCCAAAAACAGCATCATGTTTATGTGCCTCAGAGGTGATGAACTGGTTGAATTTCCAAAGCTATTAGAAGGTGCTAAGGATCTTATGCATCCATCTGCACCCCACACGTGTGGGCAGCCTTTTCCAGTGCACAGTCTGCAAGAGCTCAGTTTGTGGTGTGTGTGTGATGGACAGCACCAAGGGAGAGTTGGTGCCTTCCCAGAGGCATCAGCTTAGCTAATGGAGTAGCCCATGCCAGCTGGATCGGAGGTAGGGTTTGGTGCTATTGGAAGAGAGGCAATAATTGGCTACAACAGTAGTTTACTAACAGTGCTCTGAAAGGGCAGAGCTGAGACAGAGGAGGACTTAACTGTCTCGTTTGTATGTTTCTCTCCTCAGTCACGTTTGGTTTATACAGAAATTGAGCACTTGCTGCAAGGCTTGAGAGAGCCTCCCTGGGAAAGTCTGTGGTCCACAGTGTCTTGCAGAACAGCCCAAAGAAGGAACGTGAGGCTGTGCTTTTAGGGGTTGATCTTAATAAGGACATATGTATGTTTTCAGTACAACTCTCCAGCACTTCATCAGTTGTGGTTTACCTGCAGGACAGTTAAAATTGCTGTAACAAGGCATGACCTGTAACAAAGCTAACCTTGAAACTATAGCAGGGGGATATATTTTGATTGCCTGATATTCTCAGGTGGTTTTTGTGGAGGGCCCAGTGAAGTCCCACATGGTGTAGAGGCCTATAACTGCCCTGAATAAGGGAAGCTCTTAGCAGGAGAGGGAGAATGTTTTTCCTACTGTTTCTGACCAGTGAGAAGAATGACAGGAGAGGAGGAAAAGAAGATGATAAAGCCTAAGGAGTGATAGAAAGAAAATGCCCTTCAGAAGGACAGCATTTCAGTGACATGGCAAAAGGAACTCAGCAGCCTTTGATGCTTTCCTTTGCAACATTAATGTCTGTTTGTAAGTAGCTGGAGAGGACTCTGTTTTGCATGGAGGATTCAGGGTCAGTAAGGCCAGGGCTTCACAGTATAGCTCCTGTAACACAGATAACCAGTCCCAGTATGTGAAAATGGGAAGAAGTATCTGAACAGTACTTCCTCTGTGTGTGGCAGAAGAGGATGGTGACAATGGAGGATGCTATGGCATTGTACCAACAGCTCCTGCTTGAGAGCTCCATTGCACTCTGTATCGGTTAAGGAGGGGAGAATGGTTTTTCACTGTTTATTTGCCATTTGACTCAGCTGTTGAACCTAAAGAATACTGTTGGTTGGAATTTTGTTGGATATTGCTATGCAAAGCTAGAAAAATGCTGCCTCCTATCTGCAAGGTAATGTTATGTAATTCAGTGAACATGGCTAGTTCGAAAGTTTGTAGTATCTCTGTGCTTATTTGCTGTCCTTTTAGCCATATGGGGCTTTGAATAAAGACTCTGTGTAAGGTTACATAATCACACCTGTCATGCCTGCTTGAGCCTTGATTTCCTTACATGAAGGAAAGCAGTACCTTTTCTGAAGTCTCTTGTGTTCCCATGGGAGCAATCCCTGTAACATGAGGGGTTGTTACTGCTGCAGCATGGATACATGTGTACTTGTGAAACGCTGTGCTTCACAAACTGAGGGCATTGGTGCAATGTTCCTTGGCTCTCTACACAGGCATAGTGAGTTCAGGCAGTTTTGAAATGTTGTAAAACGCTTTTAACAAGAGTCAGGTACCCAAATGGTAACTTCCTCATGAGTTCCTACATGAGTAACATTAAATGATTTTAAAATTGAGATCAGTTAATGAATTGTCAGGTATTTGGCTTTCATATGCTTGATATCAAATGTCATACTGTTTAAAATAAAATACAAACTAAAATATGAAAACAGGTTTATAGTATCAGGAGTTATTTTCTTTTGGTTTTCTTTCCAGGCTGATAAGTGAAGAGCTGCCAGAAGTTCCTGTGCTTTACAGAGATGTCTCATCCCTTTTGCTTATCCAGATTTTAACCATGCCTCAACCATTGCACAAAGGTATGTTACAAAAATGTCTGTTTAAATGCTTATGTAGATGAGGCTGCATTCATGATGATTCCCAGGATGGCAAATCATAGCTGCTCTGCTGTGTATTCTAGAATGATGTTTCTGCCTTATCTCCAGAAGGTGGCATTGAACAGAAATTTTTGTTCTGGGTTGACAGGTTTATCTGTGTCCCCTGTCTTTTTACCTTATCAGTCAGCTATTCATTAAAGATACAAGAGCTGAGCAAAAACTATTAAGTATTTCTGCTGAAGGAAACGTGTCCTTTGTTTGACCTTCATCTCTTTGCTTAGAGGGATAGCTCAATACTTCAAGTTGAATGGAGTGCCTAAGGGTGAAAGATTGTAATTTAATTTGAATTTCAGAGTTTAAATTGCAGCAGACTTACATAAGAAGAGGTCATATATGAAGATAATAATTGCTGTAATGCAGCAACTTCAATAGAGACAGCATACAGTATAATTGCGAATAACTATTAAATAGATACTAAAATATCTGATTTTTTTATTACTAAAATCAAAACTGTTCTAAAACCTAAATTTCTTTTCCTATGTAAAAACAGCTGAACTTGGTCCTTCTTGTTAATAGACAGTGTAGGTTCCAGAATAGGGTCTCTGGCTTGATCAGTTATAAATATGCCTTCATTTTAAAATGAGGACAAGCAAAACAAGTATCATTTTACTACTTCACTGACAATGAACAGAACATGTTCTTTGGGATCTGCATGGCAATTTTGATATTTATCGAGTTTTGGTAATTTGTGAATATGTAAATACAGGAACTGTTCTGCTCTTGATGCATACACCTAACTTAGGGAACATAGGAGAAACTCCTTTTCCTTAAGAGCTGTTCAGTCCCCACTAGTGAACGTCCAAATTCAGCTCAAGTGACTGTGGGTTTGTTTTTGCAGTTCAGTGTACATAAAGTAGTAGAATTACTTAGGTTGGAAAAGACTTGTAAGATCATTGAGTCTGAATGTTAAGTACATATTTATGGATTAAGTATGTCCAATAGATTACTAGAAAATGGAAACACCAGGAGAAAAAAATAGCTTTGCACAGGAAGCCTATTGTCAAAAATACCCTTTATTGGAAGGACTTAATAAAATCAGTAAACAAAAGCTGAATGAGACATCTGAAATTCAGGAAAGGGAGTGTTGAAGCTGAAGCACAAAGCAGTGGTCTCTTTGTAGTTAATATTCAAGCATTGAATACCACCTTTTCTGAAAGTCTAACTTACCCTAGAAAAGGCAACACTCAGTTAATAGTAAGGCATCCTGTGGAGAATTCTGTGAAATGCCACATATCAGCAGCACGTTTTGCCTTTGCTCTTAGGCTTACTGTATGTTGCAGTTGAAAGGAAAATGGCAAGTGGCAGAAAGAAGATGAATGTAACCACTTCAAATCTGTGAAGCATTAAATTGGAAATAAATTGTCATTTTTCTTCCTAATTTTTGTTTCATCAAAACGGTTAGGTGGAATAAAAAGTGTCTTTCATGATTCTTTGTCCAGAGGTGTAGAATGAAGTTCACAAAAATAGATCATAACAAATTTGTTTAGAACTTTTGCGATGGTTGTGTAGATCACAGAGTCGAAGGCAATATCATTAATTCTTGGTTGAGGCATAATGAAGGTAAAATGGTTTGTGCATTGTCACGTGACAAGGTCAGTGGTACAAAATCTGCATTTGACCTACTGCTCCCTGAACTGTTCGTGCTGCTTTGGCACTGCTCTGGCCATGGGAGCTGTGGGCTTGGACTGGTATGCAGACAGGAGGTTGATGCCTCTGTGTGTTGACGGGCATTTCAGGTATATTCCTTTAAGAATAGACTTAAGTTTGTGTTGTCAGGTGAGTCTCATCTCTGTGCTGGGCAGGATCGTGGAACAAACTCTCCTGGAAGCTATGCTTAGGCACATGAAAAGCAAAGAGGTGATTGGTAACAATCAACATGACTTTACCAGGGGCAAGTCATGCCTGATGAATTTAGTGGCCTTCTATGATGGGGCCACAGAATTTGTAGATAGGGGCAGAGCAACTGATATCATCTACCTAGACCATCTGTATTACCATCTGTAATACTGCACACAGTTCTGGTGCCCTCAACATAAGAAGGACATGGAACTGTTGGAGCAAGTCCAGAGAAGGCCACGTAGTTGCTAAGAGGACTGGAGCATCTTCCCTATGTGGACAGGCTGAGGGAGTTGGGGCTGTTCAGTCTGGAGAAGAGAAGGTTGCGTGGAGATCTCATAGCAACTTTTTAGTGTCTGAAGGGGCTACTGGGGAGCTGGAGAGGGACTCTGTGTTAGGAACTGCAGTGATAGGACAAGGGATAATGGGTTCAAATTGAAGGAGGGGAAGTTTAGGTTAGATATTAGGAAAAAGCTTTTCCCTGTAAGGATGCTGAGACACTGGTATAGGTTGTCCAGGGAAGTGGTGGCTGCTCCGGCCCTGGCAGTGTTCAAAGTCAGGCTGGATGAGGCCTTGAGCGATCTGGTCTAGTGGAGAGGTGTCCCTGCCCATGGCAGGGGGTTGGGACTACATAATCTGTAAGGTCCATTCCAACCCTTAAAATTCTTTGATTCTATGATTGTGTCCATTCAGGGAACTAGAGCTTTTTGTCAGTTATTACACCTTCTTCATGTTTCTGCTCAAAATATTTTTTTACACAGTGTCTTTTTGAAAACACTGTGAGTGCTCTGTAAGGAGGACTCAAACCTTGTCTCTTGCCCTTCAGATGTAGCACTGGGAATTGCTTTAACTGTCCTATTAACTGTTGGATAGGTGTTCGTATCTTTTTCAATTTGACATCGATTAAAGCAATAAAAATGTCATTACTGTTCAGCCTCTGCATTCAGAGGTGAAAATTGATCTCAGCCCATCAGAAAAAAAAGACAACTACTATGGGAGAAAGTTTGTGGTGGAGGTCAGAGCATTTACAAGCATTTACCAATTTACAGAGATGGGAATGAGGATGATAGTGTGTACCTCCTGTGTATTGTAGGCCGCAAAATAAACATGTTTGAGATACTAAAACCATTTGTGAAACTTTAGTTTCTTTTGACACTGGAACATAGGCAGAGCTTTTATGGGCTTCAGATGCTCAGCATTTTGAAATTGTACAAGTAATCTATATAGGAGTTTCTGGTTCAATTCTGTGGCAGTTGTACAGAGAATGGACAGCAGTCACCCTGTTGTGAACTGGGACTCCCTACAAAACATAGATTTTATTCCTATCTCCTTCCTTACAGAAATAGCCATTGGTGGTGTATGTACAGAAATGGTTTGGTGGTTATCAACACATACCTGTCCTTGTAAATTGAATTCAACACCTCCCACCAATGCTCTCTGCAACGCAATCTGTGCATGTTGAAGAAGTTGTTCAGTTGAAGCTGGACATTCTTCTTTGTTAGCATGAATTAGAAAAACTTATTTTCCCAGCACCTGACTTGGGATTCCCCTATCCAGGTTTGTGGAAGTGCAGAGTGTTTGTAGCTTCTAGTGATTTCAGTTTCTACATTGCATTGCATGTAAAAAATCCCATGCTGTCACAGAGTATTTGGGAATGGGGGTCTGGGTGTAAAGGAGTGAGCCTGAGGCTCTTAGGTCTGTGGGCCAGCAGGGGCCTGGTGCTGTGCCTGTTGCCATGTGTGCAGGGAAGGGTGTTTGCCATCAGGCACAGTGCTGCTCTGACTGCTCTTGAGAGATCATGGCTTGGGAGTGCTGCATGTGTTCCAGTCTGAAAGCTGCTGTTGGGAGTTTGGCTCAGCCTCCACGGACTGTGGGAAAGGTTTAGGCATGTAACACCTAAATTCAAACCCTTTTTGCTGTAATTCTGATGAGGCCTAGATGCTGAGGAATCTGACCTGGGTGTTCTGACACATTGTTTTTTTATAAAGTTTCAATGACGTGCAACAAAAATGCAGCAAGCAGAGCTCAGGCAAGCAACTAGCACTTTTCCTTTAATGATTGGATGAGGATCTTGACTAAATATAGAATGGATGTAATCAACTTGAATAGTATCCAGTCTGAATGTGGAAACTGAAATATTTATCTGTATTCTGAATTTTAATATACATTTCATGGATTATCTGAATTTCAGTGTGCTGTCTCCCTTTGTTCTGAAGTTATTTTTTTCAAATGACAGTTCAAGTTTTAGGTCAAGAAGATTGTTTTTCAAAGGTTATTTAGACAAAGATATCCTTCTGAATTCACTAAAAAATAAGGCACTCTGTCCTTAATTTTGCATCTGGTTCACTTTGTGGATTCCTTCTGTAGTCACTGCCTGCCAGGGAATGTCATCTAATTTGATATTGAAATTAGAAGATGCATATTGATAGTAATACACTTACTTATCTTCATATTTCTTGCATTAATGTTAAAATTAGAGTTCTAGAAGTGTTTCTTGTATAAACTTTACTTTTAAGGTGGTTGGTTAATGTATATAATGGGATGGGATGCTGTGAAGTAATTTGGTTCCAAAAAGTCTTAAAAATAAGAACCTTAAAATGTTTCTCAAATTAATTCAAAAATAAGTACAAAAGTTCTGGACTAACCTGTTTTGATCGTAATAATACTTTTATACTGTCACATTATCAGGTTAAGTTTTTTCTGTACAAACACAGAAGTCCTAACTGCAGTTTAGTGCAGAACTTTGCACAGTAGTTTACTCCACAGCATGCAGACATAGTAGGTAACCTCTAGAATGATGAAATTGAAAAGATGATGTAGCACAAGCACAGGCTGCAGCAGGAAGGCAGCAGGAAAGCAGCACGCAGCCCCCACACGCACTGCAGAAAGGCAGATCAGGCTGCTTCTTTGCAGTAGACAAGAATGTAACAGCTCTAGTCTTATGACTACCTTACACCTGTCAAACATTTGGCATTTGTAATGAAATGATAATTGATTGTCGGTTTTTGGTATGTCTCCCATGGGATGTTTTTGTGACTCATCAGACAGCATGCTGCCTCTGAGCTGCTCCTGAGACATTCTCCTGGAAAAAGAAAAGATTAAGTTTGTTTGTGCAGGAGTCAGGACTTAAGGGTCCCCCAGATGTAGGAGTGTGGGGGTTTTGTCAAATTCTGGATTCTCCAAGACTGTAATTCATAGTCATCTATGAGTCATATACATTCAAGTAAACAGAAGAACATTCATTTCCTGTCATTTCCCACGGTGCCAAGGGGCTGCAGAGGTGAATGCAGGAGGTGAGTGGAGTAAGGTAGTGGGTGGGGACAATGTGTCACATTCTACCAACCGGGATGACTAAGGTGGACAGGACCACCTTTACTTAACCCGGAAAAGGGACACATAAAAATTATGTGTGTTTGATCAATAGCTTTAACAACATAATATGCACTAGATATATTTCTGTTGGATAGAATAATTAGCACTAAGCTGGGCATGGGGACAAGGAGCAACTATGTTTAACAAAAATCAGATTTTAAAAAAATGCAGTAGTTGTATGAGGTGCAAAGACACCTAGTGTTGAGCGCTGTGAGCCATGTGAGGAGAGCAGAACTACCACAGGATGCAGCAGCTGTGGCAGTTGGTGCCTGTTGACCAGTGGTCTGGCTTTGCTGCTGTAGCTGCAGTGGTTTTAATTCATGTTTTCACAGGGTAAAATTGATTCTTATCGCTTGTACCTGATATTGGGGATAGAACTCACGACTTGAGGTCAGTTCTGGCTACAATTATAGGCTGTAACTCAGACTGAAGGGGCAGTTCTTACAGTTCTCTGAGTGCATGTGGTTTAATCTTGTAAGTTGCAGTCCCAGAAAACTCCCTGAAAGCTTGCCCACTCTTATTCCTCAGGAGGAGGGTTGCTGAGAAAATGGAAGTTTTAGCAGAGGCAAAAATAAGGGCCTAGACATCTAGTGGGATCTGGTGAGTTCTCCTTTTGGGGAAATGTAGTGGGGAAACATCATATTTCTGCCTGCTCTAGAATGGGGGGATGAAGCATAGCAGCATTTGTTGTCATGTTTGACATAAGCTTCATAAGATGATAATACAGAAAAAAGTACCCTTTTAATTATATAATAATGAACAATCTTTTAGGTGATTAAATTGTGCTTATTGTTTATATTCAATGACAGAAAAAAGTTTCGAAATCCATGTCTGTGCTGATTTGTAAACACTTGTCACATTAGCAAGCAATTGTTAGTTCACAGATTTAATTATGTACTCAAGCCCTAGCTGTGTGTGTTTTAGAATACAGTGGTGGGTTTGATATTAGATACAAGAAGGGAGAAGCTAGGAGTTTCACTTCCCTTCTCTCGTCTCATTTTCACATATGAGGCTTGTGTAAGTCCTTTGGGAAGAAAGAATGAATTTAACCTAGTTTTTGTGAGGTGCTTATGTAAATAAAATTGTTTCGCGTGACTTCAAAGCCTGAGAGGACTTCTTAAAACACTGATTTTTACCTGCATTGTTTTAGATGATATATGTTAGTTATGTCTGTTCTTAAGGAATGGCGTAAGTGATGATAGAACCTTCTTTGATCTGCTTAGATTTAAAAACAAAATAGATAATTGGGGATGGGAAAAACAACCTAAAGTGAAGAGGCAAAAAAGGACTGCTACCATACCTTCATTTCAGAGAATGATTGATTTTTTTTCCTGTTCTGTTTTTAGGAAGTCTTATTTTGCTTCTGTTGCTAGCTTCCCCCAAAAGACTTCAAAGCCTGTCTGTAGGAGATAATAATCCTTGAGGTATTATAAAAATTGTAAATATCTTTAAAAATAAGTTCTAAAATGACCGTCTGCCTTTTGTCCTCCTCCTGTGTGTACATTAGGTCTAGTAAATAGGTATTCACTTAAGAGTGTTTTGCAGTCTTGTATGGCTGGATCCATGTCTGGAAGTGAAGGCTCAGAAGCTGAATATGCTAAATGTCCTTCTTGCGGTGGTTTCTTTGGGAGTTTAACTCTTGCAGTATTTGTATGAATGTAACTTACCCCAGAGGGGCACCAGAAGAGATGGTAGGATATGCATTTGCTTGCATCTGCAGCAATCAGTAGCTTAACTTGATGTAACCTTTGAACAAAACAGAACTTTTTAGTATCACCAGGTCACCAGAAGGAAGTCACTCCTGGTCAGGATTAAGATGAACATATTGAGCAATGGAAAATTACGTGACCTGTACTTGTTCTGTTCACTGTGACTGCCAAGTAATTTCTGAAAGCTATTGAATATAGTTATATGCTGGTTTGGTTTTTTGGGGGGGGTTGTTCTTTTTGTATAGCACTTGCTTTTCATTTGAGAAACATAATTTCATAGAATCATAGAATCAACCTGGTCAGAAGAGACCTCAAATGTCATCGAGTCCAACCCCACCACTATCACTAGACCATGGCATCAAGTTCCACATCCAGTCTCATCTTGAAAACCTCCAGGGATGGTGAATCCACCACCTCCCCAGGCAGCCCATTCTAATGTCTGACTACTCTCTCTGCTCTGTAATCATTATATTTGCTAAAAATTGCTTTCTTTGTTTTACAGAACACTTCACCTGCATTGTAAAAGTGCTGTTCACTTTACTGTATACTCAAGCCTTGGCAGCACTTTCTGTTAAATGCAGTGCTGAAGATAGGATGGCATGGAAAGAGTCAGGAGCTCTCAAAAAGGTTGGTTAATTTATTAAAACACATTTTGCTTATGTTTTTCTAGTAGGAATGGAACAGGTATTTCAGATTTGCATGTAATAATTTGCTTCTTCACAGAAATCCAGTATTTTGTTTCTGTGTGTGTAGTTTTTTTGTTAAGCGACTCTCAAGTGATGTATTACTTAGCAGTTTAATGAGCACTGAGGACCAGCCAGCAGTAATCACAGAGCTCCCTGTTCCTCTCTCCCAGCCCTTTGGCAGTCCTTCTCTTCTTGAGCCTATCCAGAGTCCTCATGCATGTCACAAGGGAAGCTGGTTTTTAGCTTAGGGATACAAGTTCTTTGTTTAAAGTTTCTTGAAGCCCAAAGGGTTAAAAATGTGTACTTCAGGTTGGCTTTTTCATATGTGCTGGTGAGACCTGTTGATTCGGGGATGACTACAAAGATCACACCTTATTTAACTTTCGTCTGTGAATGCCAAGTGAATCTGTTTTGGTTTGGTACTCCAGACATTAAACATGGGCCGAAGACTTTCCTCTATATTCATGTCAAATGATCAAACAACATGACTTTTTATTTCTCAGCAGAGCTGAGAGGTGCATATTGTCCTTTGGAAACCCAACTTCACTCTGTGTCTTTGCAAGGTCTCTTGCAGTTTTAAAGTGTGTTGCCTTCTGGCTCTTTGTTATGAGCATGAACAGCAAGTTTGCCTTCCCAATGCTGAATAGTGAAGACTCCATCTAAAACTGATAATGAAAATTGATGTCAAAATGCACTAATAAAACCAACTGATGAATTATATACATTATTATGTGCTGACGTCCATCTAGTCACTTTAGAGTTCTTTTTAAAGAATCCCAGTAATCTTCCCCTCCCTTATGGATTATTGTGCTGTTGATACACTAACAGAACTCAAAATTCATATCCAGTCGTCTTTTTGTGTTGATCAAAAGGAAATGCTCCTGTAAAAGTAACTGCAGTGAAGTAAATTTTATCCTTTTCATGACCAGTGCTGTTAGGATTTCTTTTCTTCTCATTTTCAGAATACATCCAGTGGAGAAAACTCTTGGGAAGTATTGCTGGGTCATGTGATTAGTGAGCTGTCTAAGGGGAAGATCTATGAAGAAGGAGAGACTGAAGAATTAGCAGTGGTATTGGCAAATCTCTTGAGAATTTTTCCAGCATGTCCCCTTGAAGTTTTTTGGCCTCGTTGTTATAATGATTTTTCTCTGATCTTGCTAAAGACTTGCAGTACAACTCTTTATTTTCTAGATCAAAGCATATCCCTTTGGGACAGTTTGCCGGTGCAAATCTTTCTTTTAATAATATCGGATGTGGCCAGTGCTGTGTTGAGAAAGTTATTGACAAATACATCTTATAATTATGGGGGTTTAATCATGTGTATGAAAGACCTTTCAGAAACTTGGAAAAATGAATATTTAAGCAGGAAACCCATTTGTTGAGGGGGAAAAGAAAACCTACAGAGGTCTTTCAGATTATTAGTGAAATGCTGGCCTTTGGAATGTATCTTTGATGCTGTCATTTGTATAATAAGCTTAAAATATTTGGTTCATATTGAAGTTTCTTACCTAAGAGATAACTTAACTGGGACAGAATTTAGTAATTGCTTCCTCCCCTGCAGGTAAATCCTGATTCTGTAGAGTGCTATCTGCAGCAGTTCTGCCTGCCTTTCCTCAGGATCACAAGCCTTCTTCAACACCATCTCTTTGGAGGGGATTTGCCTAGTTGTCAGGTATGGAATGAGAAGGCCAAGCTCAAATGTTTCCACTGAAAAGCTAGAGGTTACAAATTACACATTTAAGGTGTCTTTTTCATGGCATGTATTTTATATACTAAGATTTTTCTAAAATCAGATTTTATGGCACTGCTCTGCAGCATAGTTTGTCTTCTATAAATTTGTTTTCAATACAGTTTAAAAAATCCCAGTGTTCTTAAACTTCAGCAAATTCATGCTTATTTTACTAGGTCATAGGTTCTTGCCTTGTAAAATACCAACATACTTCAAAACTCCTCCAGCATTTGCAGAGAAGGCATAATTTACACACAGAATGGAATTGAGTTCTGATTTTGCTTAATGCCTGTTAGTACTTGGACTTCATTCTCAGAGACTTTGCATCAGCAGACAATTGTGTTTAAGTTCCATGACTAATTTAAATAGAGTTTGCTGCAGGTCAGCTCCCTCATTTCCTTGCCTCAACATCATCTCATCTGTAAAACAGCTACAAGACAGTTTGGTGTGCTAAACAGAAAGAAAATGATTGTGGAGTTTGAGGCTTTCCTGTTTTGTGGGCTTTTTTGGATTTGTGGGTTTGTGTGGGTTTTGTGTTTTGGTTTTTTGTGGGTTTGTTTTTTTTGCTGACCATCTTTCTTGTGTTTCAAGAGTTGATTTTGAGGTGCTCTGGAAGAAAATTGAACCTTTCCTGTGTCTCTGAACATGATAATTAGCATCTTAGTACTAGAATATATTTACCTTTTTATTTGAAATAGATTTTTTTTTTTTAATAAGCTAATTAAAAATTCAGAGTGTAGGTATTAATCTAAAGCTCTCTGATTTCATACCTAAAAAGGAAGATGAAGAATTCACAGTCCTTGCAAGCTGCCTGGGTCTATTACCATCTTTTCAGTCAGCTCATCAGTTCACCAGTGCCTCTTGTCTCGATTGGCCAGTGCCAGCGTTTGACATGATATCACAGTGGTGCTCAGAATTGGCTTCATTTGCAGACAGACACCCGGATCAAGTGAAGGTATGTAGCAAAATTACTTCTTCCAAAGAAGTCTTGATATGGAAGGAGCTGTTCATTGCTTGATTCATTATGCATATGTACTGTTTTTTGGGTAAGGGTCTGAGAATGTAACTTTTGAATGAGAGAGAAATTGGAATGAGAAACATTAGTTGGTGGATGCGGGTTGGGTTGGCTAAAATCTGTGATTCAGTGAAATCAGGGATAAGAAACCCAATCAGGTGCTGGAGAATGAAAAAAGAAACACTATCTTTACATGATACCAAGTGTGCCTGTATCATCTGCACCTGTAGCCTACCAAGGGCATGTAATAGAAACTTTGTCTTTTAAGAAAGTATGTATCAGAACTTTGTCTTGCCTGTTAGACATTGTTCATATTTTTGAGCATCTTCACTTGCAGTACTGAAAAAGATCAGAAGGATAAAAGCTGTTTAATAATTGACTAATAAAATATGATACATTTTCTCTGAAGGTTAAAGAAACAATACTATGACTTGAGTCAGTGCAACCGGAATAATCAGTTGAGAAATGGAAATATTTCAATATTAGTGCATTGTTTTTATGACAAAGTTGCATCTCAACCAGTCATGTTCCCCTCTCCTAAGTTTATGGTGTCAGAGGCAAGCCAGAAGCACCTGTGAAAACTTGAATACTCAAATTAATCTCAAAATACAGTTGCTGCCAATCTGATAGACATCTGAGATAGACTGCAGTGAAACTGATAGCATTCTTTCCATGATTGAAAAAGGAACCAGGTACAAATGCAATATTCCTTTTTTTTTTCTGAGGTCATGCACTGTCCAAAAAAATTTTATACCTTGCAAGATGATCCCATCTGACCACTATGCCCATCGATTATAACCCCAGTAAAAAGGACTGTGTTGAAGGAAAGCACATTACTATTTAAAAAAAACCAACCCCATATAACAACCAACCAACCAAAAAAACCCATAAAATTGGACACTGTTTTTAAGAGCAAATGAGAAGACCTAGGCTTTCACAGCAGTATTTACTTAGTGCTTGTTTTGAAAGTTTTAGTCTAAATTTCAGCTAGGAGACAGCTTTCACAGTCAGTGCTAGGGTTTGGCATGTGGATATTGTCAAGATAACGTAGTGTAGTGCATGGGAGTCTTCCCTGTGCATCACTCCTAATCCTCTTGTTTTAGCTATGAAGACTTTTGCACTTGAAATGTGTCATATTTAGAAAACATTCTTGGGAAAAGACTAGTGCCCATTTCACACCCATCCAACAGAATGACATGTGACTGCAGCTGGGGAAGGGTGTTCAGGAGCAGGTGATGATTGCAGGGTGACTTTTGACTTCTAAATTTGTGAAATGCAAAAGAAATGAGATATTTTTAAACTGCGTACTTCTTTTCTTTGGTATTGTCATTTCTTATGAAATAGAAATGCTTAAATGAATGCACAGAACTGATCCAATGTTCTTACATTATTTGTAGGCTTTGCTTATCCAGGAGCCGAAGTGGGACTTGCCACACCTCCTTCAGTTGCCTGAGAATTATAATACCATTTTTCAGTATTACCACAGAAAGACTTGTAGCGTTTGTACCAAGGTTCCTAAAGATCCTGCTGTTTGTTTAGTTTGTGGTACTTTTGTATGCTTGAAAGGACTATGCTGCAAACAACAGAGTTACTGTGAATGTGTACTGGTAAGAGAGGAATTAATTCAAATTCTGTAATGGATTCTTGCACTCATTAACAGTTTTTAATTTCATTGCTCGGTTTTGATGGTTTTCTCTTCAAAATGTGTTTGTATAGTCATAGAATAGTCTGGGTTGGAAGGGGCCTTAAGGGTCATCTGATCTACCCCTCAGTGATAAAATTTAGTGTTTATTTCTGGTAGATAAACCTAGACTGGAGTCTGGAAAGCAATTTACTTGCACAGCAGTTAGAAAGGCTATGGCCTTTTTAGGCCATAGCCTATTTCACTCTTCTGTGAAGGCCATAGCCTATTTCACCTTTCTGTGAAAGTCTTACACACAATGGAAATTGGTTTAGATTCTGATATTTTGTATATTTTAATTCTCCTATGCTTTGTTTCCTTGCTTTCTGTGTACATAGAATATCAGTGTGTGGTTGGGTTGAATGCTGTCTGATATACCTGACCACCTGCTAGTGATCTACAGGCCAGAACTAGATAAGTGTAGGTTTAAGGTCTTTCTCCAGCAGCAAAGTTTTCTAGTCAGCATATATTTAAATTCTTTCAGGAGCCCGAGATGGACAACATCTAGTTGAGGAATTTGTTGGAGAGATGTTCTGAAATGGGGCTTAAAATCAAACCCGTAGAAATGTCCATTTTGAAATTGTTTGTACTCACCTTTCTCTCTCATAGTGCTAATACGGTGGGAGAATAAGGGGTGGGCAAAATTTAAAATACGATTTACAGTTATATTTAAGGTGTCAAGCTTCATGGAAATGGAAAGTTATGGAAAAAAATTTAAAATCTGTGTCATTAATTAAATGTTATTCTAGTTGATGGGATTATAGCTTCTCATTGTAATAAAACTATATAGGAAGAGGACTTTTTTTTTAAATTGCCAACAGAAATTGATGAATAGAGATCATGCTATTCATAGAGATGAATGATATTGAGCAAAGCAAGAACTGTTAAAAAAATTATTTTTTACTAGATCTGTAGAGCCATAGACTAGACCTGTGGAATATATTAGGTAATGTTGTACAGTTTTTTCTAGAATCACCAAATCAAAATAATGTAGGGAATATTTTTGGTCATTGTTGTGATTCAGTTTTTACATGATAAGAAATACCCTCCCTTTTTGAGTAGGGAACTGTGTTTTTATGCAGGTGTTGTTATGGCAGCACAAGACACTGAATGCTAGTTTGGATGGAGAATTTTGGGGCAGGATATCCTTTTCCAAACTGTTTCATAGTAAATAATATGTGCAAGTTACTTCAAGCAAAACTAAGTACTGTTTATTAAGTTCTTTGTGTTATAAAGTTGACAGACACTTACAGAATCTTTTCACTTTTGCCTTTCTATACCCATAATATTACAGCATTCTCAAAACTGTGGAGCTGGGACAGGAATATTCCTTTTGATTAATGCATCTGTAATCATCATCATACGAGGCCATCGGTTCTGCCTTTGGGGTTCTGTTTATCTGGATGCACATGGTGAAGAAGACAGAGATCTTAGGTAATGTTTTCATTACAAATATGTTTCATGGTTGCTATCTCTGTGTAGGTCAACTTTGTCATGTAACATGCAATAACAGATAGTATTAGGTTTCTTCCTTCCTGCTGTGGAAAAGTGGAAAGTGCCCATTTACTGCAAGTTGGACAGACTTGTTTTCTTTTGGCTTTTTTGGGCTTTTTTGGCCCAAAGGTGGTATAATCATGATCATTGAGGTACACACACCAGCCACCCAACAGACTGATTCCTGTGTTGCCATTCTCAATGCTGGACAATTCTGAGTGTTGCATTGGGAAAAACTTATTTCCCAAAGTTGTTGTTTGGTCTTTAATCAAACAGTGCGGTTGGGTTCCAGTGCAGGGAGGGAGTGTAACTTCCAAGCTACACATGGCTGAGAGAACAAGACGTTTTCTGGATTCTGCTGGCAACGCAGGTGGAAGGGAAGTCCCAGCAGATATCCTCTTAAAAACCAAGCTGAAAGCCCCTCACCAATAAACATTCATGCTGCTTCTGCAAAAAAGGCTCTATGACTATCATGTGTTGATTATATAATGAAGCAACTTTCCATTTATTTGGCATATTAACCTTTTCTTTTCTTCTCCTTTCTCTCCAGGCGTGGTAAACCTCTCTACATATGCAAGGAAAGATACAAAGTGCTTGAGCAGCAGTGGGTGTCTCATACTTTTGATCATATCAATAAGAGATGGGGGCCACATTATAATGGCTTGTAAATCATCATCATCCACACATCGGTCACTGCTGTTACCATGAATGAATGCATCCTGACTGACAATAGCTTTAACTGAAGGGGAGTTTAGCTCTTTGGCTCGGGGTGGACTGGGGTACGGGCATAAAAGGGAAATGGAACTTTGTCAACATGTGAAATCTTTGCAAAATGAGCTGTTGTTCCTACTACAGAATGATACAATACTGAAATTAAATCCTCAAAATGGTGTGAGCAATCTGATTGCACTCAGTAGTCCCATTTTTCTTGTGTTTTTTTTTTTTTTTTAAAAGCCCATTATTGTTAAGAAGCACAAGTTTTACTTACAGTTGTTTAGAGGCTCCAGAGGTAGCTGTCAGGTTTTTATTTTTCTCTGCATGGAGTTGAGTTTTTAGCAGTTCTTGCTGAAACAGCGTATATGTCTACTACATCTACTAAATATGTCGGATAAAATTTCTTTGCCTTTTTTGTGTTGGTTTGAGGTTTTTGCTTGATACGCATTTGTAATTAGACAGGTTTGTCAAATGATTGTGAGACTGCATGGGGACAATTGGTCTGAAAGTTGAATTTTAAAGAGTATTTCATTTGTGAGAGGTCTGTTGAAATATTTCAGGCATTACTGAAAGCTTATACATTCTCAGGAACTTCATAAATTTTTTCTCCATAAATAAGTGAAATAGCTGTAAATTAGGTATCTTACTGCTCTTAATGTAATCCAGAAAACTCATTCTGTCTTCATTTTTTTCCAGGAAGGAGATTTTTTTTTTCCACATCAATTGAATAAATTCTTAGTGATAACACATACAGAAATTGCTGTATGTAGAGAATTTGTATGGTGTCCAGCACAGCAGATCCCAGTTACAAGCATAGCAACCATATACCTGCCTGTCATTTCAAACCAGATATGTGTGTCAGAATGATTGGATTGGGAATGTGCAGGCTGTTCTGAAAATGAGATATAATTTTGTATCTTTACTGTTATTTCAGGAGGTTCTTCTATATTCTATTTGTTAAAAGTAATCACTGTTCTTTCTGCTTGGTTTCCTTAAAAGGAAAAAAAGCGAAAAAATCAGCAGAGGTAGCCTAGATGAACAAGCAATGCATGTGCAGCCTCACTAGATGGATGCCAAAACAGTTTATGCTTAGAGGACTAAAAAGTTCATGAGAACAGTCATGACTGGGCTAAACCCCACAGTGTAAGTAGGTAGGAAAGATTATAGTTCAAATACTGGTATGTAATATATTGCTACTAAGGTTTTTCACAAGTGTCAGACATTTGTTGGCTATTTCATACAGTACTACCAAGCAGTTCCTGGTAGTTTTGATTTTCATAGCTTGCGTGTAAAATAAAATTTATATGTGTAAAATAAAAGCATCTGATGATAAAACCACATATACAAAGAAAACAGTTCCCCAGTGGAAGTCATTATCTAGTGAAAAGTGTATAGGGGAAATAAAATGACTGTATAGCAATCAAGAACAGACCGAAGGAAAAGTAAGTAAATACAATGAGACTTTCTGGATATCTGCAATTCACAAAACCCTTCATTAAAGGATGCTGGTTTTTATACATACATATAAATATATATATATTTCAAAAGTATTACAGTACTTCTGTAAGGTTAGAATTACTCTGTTTCACCAACTGAATGGCTGTGTCTTTTCCAAACTATTCCTTTTTTGATACTGTATTATAAGTTCTGCCTGTAATATTTTTGCATTGCTCATTATGAATATCGGGCCATTTTGTAAGTGTGGTTAAAGAGCAAAAAGGTTCTTTACATCGCCAGCATAACATTATTACAGGGCTCATGAACTTGAGTAATCTGTAGTTTGAAGCTCCAATGCTGTATTTACAAAAGATAATGTATCCAGAATTTGATTACTGTGTTTTATTTAAAATGGAATGTTCTCTGGTTGTGCATATGGATGTGAAGTAAAACTATTAGCCTTAACTTTAACATTTGGGTATTTCATAGTGTTTATTTTGGTACTGGTGAATTAGTCACCAGTCAATTTAAAAACAACAACAACAAATTACTTGGTTGAAAAATTGTACTTGAATATCCTTGCATGCTGCTAAACAAGAATTTTTATTTCCCCCATAACTTTTTTAATCCTACTTTATTAAGCTAACCTTGAAAAATAACAGGTCCAAACTAGAGTGGCGTGTGTGTGTTACTCAAATGTTCTGGTGTGATACCCTGTATGAATGATCATTTAAGTACAGTACATTACTGTAGAATCTAAATCAATCTTTATAACACATCAGAAGAGTATAAACTAGGAATACAGTAATTGGCATTGTAAGATATGTTAATAAAAGTCTACTGTCAATCTGTGTGTTGGTGACATCTTTTCTGTCTACCCCAGTCATCCAAAATGTAATCATTACTGAATTCCTCCCCATAGCTAGGCAGTTATTTACCATGTTAAAAGCTTATGCATGCTGAGTACTTCGCATAGAGAGCAAACCTGGTCTGTGTTTTAATTTGTTACTTACACACAGTCATGTATTTTGTATTAGTAATTTGGATTATTTTACTCATAACTATACCACCTAAAGTTGTGCTTCATTTTATGGCAGCTTTTACAGCATTGCTGATGCAAACTGCTAGGATTAAAATGCTGAGTTGAGAAACTGTACTTCTGGGAAAACTGTGCTTGATCTTTTCTGTCAAATCTGTTTCTGGAATAATTACAACTTCAATTTGATGAATGTATATATTTATGTATTAAATTCTTCTTTTTCTTTTGACCTTTGAGAAATTTGGTGGAACAGTCTTCTTTTGACCTTGACTTTTAGATAATGGCCTCTTTTTTTTCTTTAGCGGTGGCCAGAAATTGTCAGTGACTATTTTTGTCATCACCTCTGCAATAGGAATCTTGCATAACTCACAGTATTTCACAAGCAAATGACATTTTTCTTTTAAAAACAGGATCTTTTCCTTCAGTATCAAACGAATCTAATTCTTCAATTCAGAATCCCACAAGATCAGTTTGTGCTGTGTGTATAACTGCCAGAGGAGACTGAGTTTTGTGCTGATCTGGATATGATTTAGATCTAATTTCCATAATTTGTACTTTCTTAGCACTAATACAATTCAGGAGATTTAATGCCATATGCTTCAAATATGGTGATTCTTTGAAATACTACTGAGAAAGCAAAACTGAATCTTGTTAAATAATGATAATTTCAAAGAGCTAATCTTACTGCCCTAAAACATGATTTTTGCAACGTGTGCGTTCACACAGTACAGGAAAACGTGGGGGAAAAAAATCCCACACTTTGAAAAGCATATTACATTGGGCTCTGAGTTCGAGTTAAAATGTCTGAAAATGAGCTTTCATTGAAGTACCATTACTTGGAAAGCCATTTCCTGTAAGTTATTTGATGCAGAGCAGGCTGGTCTCAGTGTGTGAAAACAGAGCTGCTTCCATGGAAACCCCTCACATCATCCAATCATTTACTACCCAGTAAACAACTATCCCTTGTATGTGCTACATGGATGCTAAACATTTCCACTGAGTAAGGAAACACACATTTTAAGGACCGAACCTAATATTTTTTTCCTTCTGCTACCTGCTGTCATGGAGCAGGAATTTCCTGGGAGAAAACTAGTTCTTTTTGAAAAATCAAACTCCCTCAGTGAAGTTCTTTATGCTGACCATAATGTCTGTGTTAACTGAGCTACTGGAATTGCTTGCATCACCTGTTGTCTAATACATTTCCCATCACAGGACTGCTTTTGACTTGTTACTACTACATTTTTTAGCAGTTCTGGCTGAGAATGATTGTGCTGGGCTTAGTCCTCATGGCTGCATTTGGGGTTTTAACTGGTTTTAAAAGAAAAATGCAAGATACCTTTCAGAGGTTAAAACTGGAAATAAACCCAACCAAGTATTCTCATTCCCGACACTGAGAAAAACTATTTTTAAAATATTTACTGTCCCTGTGCTTTGGCCTTAAATCTGTTGACCAAATGTGTATGGGTCACATTTTAACATAGAACACAGCTGTGTACTGAAGCATTTGACAAACCAGAACAACATGTTCTCAGGGATTACTTGTAAGTACTGGCAAATACCTAAAGCAGATAATGAGCCTTTGTCTGTTTTTCAGGTGTCAAGGAATATCCTTTGCACTATTGAAGTCACTAATGCAGTTTGCTGTGACAAGTTATTTTCCTTATTTCTTTGAACAACTGGAGCTCTCTCCATGTAATGCAGCTACTTCTTTCATGCCTTTGTTGTCTCCACATTGTGTGCTCACTACTTTGTGTATTATTCCACAACAAAAGAATCCTAAAGCAGATGGAGGGCCCTCTGCAACTGTGCAGCAATACTTTGTGAATAAGCTTACATTTGCTCAGAGCAGTTCATGCAGAGATAGCCAGGAGGGTACAGCTTGCAAACTGTTTTGTCAAGCCTGTGGCTGCTTCTTGCTCTCTGATGCTGGTCATTTTAGATGGTTATACATCAGCTTTGAAAAATTGAGACTAACTTTGCACTTTTTCAAAGTATCTCTACAGGCACTGAAAGATACTCTGTTGTAGCAGAACTTCCTGTTGCACTTGAGTGTAGTACAGAGCTGCTGTTGTAGTCTCAGCTCTGGGACAAGGTAGTTGATGTGAGAATCACTGGTGTAAAGTTACACATCATAAACTGTAGACATGCAAGTTTTGTTTCAGGGCAGCCAAAGGAACTGTTAAGTATTGATTCATTCAGGTTCTCTAGCTGTCTGCTTTTATTCTGTTGGTTTTGTCTCTCAACTCCTAAGCTCCTTTAAGGCAGGGAACGCCTCCTGTTTGGCTCAAAAAGTAATCAAGTAAGTGCTGCTCTGTAATGGTAGATCAACTGGTGTTAGAGCAAATCCAGGTAGTAGGATCTTCCATCAGCAAAGAAACACATGTATGTGCACACAGGACTTAAGTGAGTTATGGCCCTTTCATGGTTCACTTTCATATTGTCTGCATGTTTTCAGATTTTGTTGCCTTCAACCTCAAATGTCTCTTCTCACACAGATATGTTGGCAGGAATCAAAATCAACAGGAAATTAAAATGGGTTTTTTTCCCATACTCAGCTATGTCTGGATATAATAATGCCTCTTCAATCTCTGCATTGTATTTTTTGTCCTGCCAGAAAATGCTACCTCAAGAAGCAAATACATTCTGAGAGTTAAAGATGCTTATTGTCTTTCATGAACCTAGTGCAGTGTTTGTACAACTGATTCTTTCCAGCAGGTCACTGATGAAATTCAAATAACCTTCAGATACCTGGCTATTCAGAAATGGCTCATAATTCCCCTTTATCCATACTTGGGTTGAGCATTTTTTAGTTCTATAACATCATAGAAGGATTTCATACAGAAATTTTTCCTTACAGAAGGAAAAGAGTATTAAAACAAATTTATAAGGGTGCTAGTTTAGCAACACTTATTTCACAGACTGGT